CTGAGCAGCGGCTGCAGCGGCCATCTGAGCAAGATGATGCTGGCGCCGGCAGGGGGCGCCCTGCAACACAGCCGCTCCATGTCCATGCCCGTGTCCCACTCGCCTCCGGTGGCCACCAGCCCTGGCAGCCTCTCCTCCAGCAGTGGGCACGGGTCGGGCTCCTACCCGCTCCCTCCAGGCCCACACCCGCATCTGCAGCACCCTCTGCACCATCATCAGAGCCAGCGGCCCTCTAGTGGCAGTGCCTCTGCCTCCGGCTCCCCCAGTGACCCTGGGTTCATATCCCTGGATGAGTACGGCTCTAGCCCTGGAGACTTGAGAGCCTTCTGCAGCCATCGAAGCAACACTCCCGAGTCCATCGCTGAGACCCCACCTGCGCGAGATGGCAGTGGGAGCGAGTTGTATGGGTACATGACCATGGAGAGGCCCTTGAGCCACTGTGGCCGCCCCTATCGCAGGGTTTCAGGGGACGGGGCTCAGGACTTGGACAAAGGGCTAAGGAAGAGGACTTACTCCCTGACCACACCTGCCCGTCAGCGGGCAGTGCCCCAGCCCTCCTCTGCATCCCTGGACGAATACACTCTGATGCGGGCCACTTTTTCTGGCAGCTCAGGCCGCCTCTGCCCATCCTGCCCAGCATCCTCTCCCAAAGTGGCCTACAACCCCTACCCCGAGGACTACGGAGACATAGAGATCGGCTCGCACAGGAGCTCCAGCAGTAACCTGGGGACAGATGATGGCTACATGCCCATGACCCCTGGTGTGGCTCCGATGATGGGTGCCAGCAGTGGCAGCTGTAAGAGAGATGACTACATGCCCATGAGCCCCACCAGTGTGTCTGCCCCCAAGCAAATCCTGCAACCCCGTGCTTCGGCTTCCATCTTGCCCCCCTCAGGAGCTGGGGTGCCAACAACCACCTCTGCAGCTGGAAGAGGCTTTCCAGTGAATGGGGTCAGCTACAAGACCAGTTCCCCAGCTGAGAGCTCCCCAGAGGACAATAGGTACATGCGCATGTGGTGCAGCTCCAAGCTGTCCGTGGAGAACTCTGACAGCAAGCTGCTTTCTAATGGGGACTACCTCAATATGTCCCCCAGTGACGCGGGCACTGCCTGCACCCCTCCCGACTTCTTCTCAGCTGCTTTGCACAGTGGTGGAGAAATCCTCAAAGGAGTCCCCGGCTACTGCTACAGCTCTTTGCCCCGCTCTTACAAGGCTCCTTATACTTGCAATGGGGACAATGACCAGTATGTACTGATGAGCTCCCCGGTGGGGCGGATCCTGGAGGAGGAGAGGCCAGACCAACAGACCAGTCCACAGCCACTGGCCACCCCAGTGACCACCCAGTCGGCCAGCGCCTTTGGTGCCAGTGGGGGGAGCCACATCCAACCTCACCACCCAGTAGTGCCTTCACCCATGAGGCAAAGTGGCCATGGTGGCAGTGGCGGTGGCAGCAGCCGCCCGGAGGGGTTCCTGAACCAACGCTGTCGGGCCGTGCGGCCCACTCGCCTATCCTTGGAGGGCCTTCAGACTCTGCCAAGCATGCATGAATACCCTCTGCCACCGGAACCCAAGAGTCCTGGTGAATACATCAACATCGACTTCGGCGAGGCAGGAGCCCGCCTTTCCCCGCCTGCCCCTACGCTCTTGGCCTCGGCAGCCTCGTCCTCCTCGCTGCTGTCGGCCAGTAGCCCAGCCTCCTCCCTGGGCTCTGGCACCCCAGGAACGAGCAGCGACAGCCGGCAACGTTCCCCTCTGTCAGACTACATGAACCTCGACTTTAACTCGCCCAAGTCACCCAAGCCAGGGACCCAGAGTGGTGACCCTATAGGCTCCTTAGATGCCCTCCTCTCCCCGGAGGCCTCCTCTCCATACCCACCACTGCCCCCAAGGCCCTCAGCATCTCCTTCCTCTGCGTCATGCCCCCAGCAGCAGCCACCTTTACCGCCGCCACCAGGGGAGCTATACCGGCTGCCTCCAGTGTCCACTGCTGCCACCTCCCAGGGCCCCAGCGCTGCCTCCTCTTCGTCCTCTGAGACTGGGGACAATGGTGACTACACCGAGATGGCCTTTGGTGTGGCTGCCACCCCGCCACAACCCATTGCGGCACCTCCGAAGCCAGAAAGTGCCCGTGTGACCAGCCCGACTGCAGGCGTGAAGAGGCTGAGTCTCATGGATCAGGTGTCCGGCATGGAAGCCTTCCTGCAGGCCAGCCCAGCCCCAGACCCACACAGAGGCGCCAAGGTCATCCGCGCGGATCCTCAGGGGGGCCGCCGGCGGCACAGCTCAGAGACCTTCTCCTCGACCACTACTGTGACCCCTGTGTCCCCGTCCTTCGCCCACAATCCTAAGCGCCACAACTCGGCCTCCGTGGAAAATGTCTCTCTCAGGAAAAGTGGCGAGGGCGGCGGTAGTGGTGTGGGTGGACTTGGAGGGGGAGATGAGCCCCCCAAGTCCCCCCATCCGTCGCAGCCAGCCCTTCCTGTGCCATCGCAGCAGCCGAGACCATGGACACAAAATCAGTCGGGGGGATTGATAGGCTGCCCTGGGGGCAGTGGTTCGCCCATGCGCAGGGAGACCTCCGCGGGTTTCCAGAATGGGCTCAACTACATCGCCATCGATGTCCAGGAGGAGACTGGGCTTCTACCGCAGCAGCCCCAGCACCCACCACCAGGAGAAAAGAACTCCTGGGTCCGGAACCATAGCCTTGGGGGGCTCATCAACGCTGTAGGTGGCGGCAGCACCGGTGGGGGGTGTGGGGGGCCAGGGCCTGGCGCCCTGCCCTCTGCCAACACCTATGCCAGCATTGACTTCTTGTCGCACCACCTGAAGGAGGCTACTGTTGTGAAAGGTGAGACCATTGCATATCTCCCCCACCTTTTTGTTTTGTCTTCTTTTGTTTTTTTGGTACTTTGACCTGAATTGCCAACAAGTCCTGGCCGAGGTTCACTGCTTTCTTTCATGCTTTGGCTCCCTTCTTCTCTTTCGCCAAAGCACTTGCCAAGAACAGCCAAATAGCCTTTGAGATGTGTGTGAAGCTCTGGCCCAGGAGGCTCTGATGTTTCTTAGACACACACACATCTCTTTCTCTCTTCCTCTCTGTTAGTGTGGTTGCAGAAGTTCCCCTCAGGTAGGCCAAACTACCGAGGCGGCCACAAGTGAAGTTGTGGGTCCCAGCCCCATGGCAGTGGGTTTGCCCTTTGGGTTTGGCTCCATTGAGAAAGTTCTGCTAGGAAGGAACCAAGGTGCAAAGTGCGCCCCCACTGGCTGCAGTCTTCACCTCTCAGTTTGAGCTCCTTTAGTTGGAAACCAGAGCCTCAGAGTTTATAAAAACAGACCTGAAATTCATGTAAGTAATTAACGTCATGAGTTTAGCTGGCTGCTAGCCACCTACGTGTTCCATGTACACTCTAGGCATTTTCCCACCGGATGAATTACTTTTCTCTGAAAGGAATGAAATGGGAACACTTCAGAGCTGTGGTTCTCGAACTTTGAACATAGGTCGGAATCTGTTTGTTAAAATATTGATTGCTGGGTTCTGTAAACTCACCCCACCTCCCGGTTCCAATTCATAGGGTCTGGGGTGCAGCTTAGAATTCGAATTTCTAATCAAGCCCTAAGATGATGCTGGTGCTACCAGCCTGGGGGCTATACTTTGAGAACCTTGCCTCAGTGTTTGGGTACTCTGGGGAAGCTTGAAACATAATATGCCAGCAAGGTACGTTGAAAATACAGTCTTTATTTCTCTATTCTTTTATTCCTACATTCTCTCTATATATATACACCGATATGTGTATATACACATACGTGTGCACACACACACATAGGAGGGGCTAAATTTCATTGAAAACTTTCATTATCTTATATGTTTTTTTCACCAACTTTTTGCAGTCCTTTCACATTTGTGTGTGTGTGTGTGTGCATGCATTATCTCAGGAGTGTAGAGGACAGATACCCAGATTTTAGAGTCCCCTGGGTGATTTTAATGGGCAGCCAGGATTTAGAATCAGTGTTGTAGAAGAAAAGGGTGAGAGACAAAAGCAGTGGTCTCTAGGACAGTGCCCAGCATTGCCAAGGTTCACAACAAGCACCAATGCCAAGAGATGTGTGCCTGCTTTGCAGCCCGCAGTGCATCCTAGTTGTCTCAAACTTTGACTGGTAAGGGAGGAAAGAGGTATGCATGAGGTGAATAGCCAACTCGAGAGAATTGCTTCTTGAATTCTGTGGCCGTTTCTTGGCTGGGTTGTTTAGTAGATTGAGCCTCTTTGGGGACCAGGAAGCACACAACAGCAGTGGTGGGGTTCAGATGCAGCAGTGGATGCTGGCTCAAAGTACAGCGCCTGCAGGGTGCACAATGGGATGACTGAGGTAGCTTGGGGATCCATCTGCCTTTTGTTCTTAAGATAAACAGACCCCTTTAATTTTATTGACGACTAGTGTATGCTTTATAGTTTTATGTACTTGGGACTGTTGTTTCCTGCGATCTGAAATGATAGCTGTAGGGTAAATCACCCATTATTCTACTGCAAGCGAGGAAAAGCTATTTCCTCTTCTCCCCTCCCCCCATTAAAGCTGTCGCATGAACGATGAAAAGAGTCCCAGAGAATTATCAGGAATGTAGAGCTTCAGCATCTAATTAAATCAATTGGAAGTTGTCAGGATGGATCCCATAAAGGATGAGTCTCAGGTCACTTTGCCGAGGTTACACTAATTAGATACTACTGGTATGTCTGACAATTGGCTAATGTATCTGGAAGGTACTATGCAAGCCTAGGTCATATAAACACACAGGTATAAATGAGTGGGGAACTAGCCCTCTTTCTCATTTGGTATTAATTAAGCGGATATATCCCCTATGAGTAGCTTCGTTTGCGAGTGTGGAAAAACAGTCCGAGAACCTGACACCCTTTACTGTTGTTGTTTTGGTGGAATAAGCGGTAAAAACCTGGACTGGATTCCGGTAGGGGCCCTGGAGTTGGTTCTTGCAGTAACAGGCAGGATAAGGGTTTGTAGTCTGGGCCCGCAGGCCTGAAAGAATTCAAGGCCATTCTGATAAAAGTCGATACATGCAGAAATGTGATTCATGTGTGACAAAATGCCCTTTTCAGATTAGTGAAAAATTGTAAGCTGACAGAGAGATAAGTATATTTAGAGACCTGATTTTGCTGGTTTTGTTTAAGATTTCCCACCAGTATGAAATTGCTCTCAGCCTATAGGATTCACGATTCTGAAATCAAAACAGCTTTTGGGGGTGGGCGGGGGGAGGGGGTATTGCCATGGGTGCTGAAACAGCGATGAGTGATCGGGTGTGTTACTGATTGTCCAAAGTCTGTGTGGTTTCACCAAAACACGCCAGTAAGAAGGAAAATGGCTGTTTTTCAAGCAAAAATAGATCACTGCAATTGATCCAGCAGATCACAGTGGGCCATGGCCACAGTTCGTGTTTTCTTTTCAAGGACGGCCTGTACGGTGGCTTTCTAGTCTGAACTAACTTGGTCGCAGAGAACAGTAGGCCAGAGAAGGGGAAGTTGGGAAGTACATCATCTTCTCGTATTAAACTTGTGGTCTGTGAGCCGGAAAGGGATCATTGAGAGACTCAGGTGAACATCCACTTTAATTTAACTCACATATGTGTGCCGAATTTATTTTTGGTGCTTATAGATAAATGCCCTTTAAGAGAATGATTTACAGTCATCAGACCTGCAGTGCATTTCTTTGAAGATGAACTAGAAAAAGGACTGCGTTGGTTGCTGCCTGAATTGCCCTGGTTCTCAGAAGTGCCATATGCTTCCCCATAGTGCTCCTCGTGCTCAGCATGGAAAGGCTTAATTAGTTATGCTGAGGCTAAATAATTTGGGGTTACTTGGGTAGTGTTTAGAATTTGCAGAAGTGGCAAAAGAGAGGAAAGGTTCCAGGAATCTGTGACAGTTGTTTACAGTAGAATGGGGAGTGAGGGTAGGGTTTAAAGTCTAAAGCCAATTAAAAAGTTAGTACAACCTCAGTATATGGTGTGTGTGTGTGTGTTTTTTTTTTCTTTATTGGTTCAAACCAAATAAGAATTTAACTCTAAGTCCTACAACTGATTTGGGGGCATCGAAAGGTAACTTGTGTGTTTCTGCATGTGCTGTTTACAGAAGAGTCCTCGCCACCCTGATAATTTGGAGATTGGAAATAGGTTCCCCAAATCAATCTGGCATTAAAACTTGAAATTAAACCTTTAAACCTTGCTTTAAACGTTGAAATTTTACATAGTATTTGTAGGTGAAGATTGTAGCTTGGTTTACATCATATCTGTTTGCTTCTGTAGTGTTTCTCTTTAGTGGGATTTTCCTCCTGCAATTGATGGCTGTTTAAAGAGACCGTAGATAAAAAAGGACCACTGAAAATGCCTGTATTCAAATGAAGTAAGCAGAATACCAGTGCATATCACATGGTAAAAGAATTACAGGACAAAAGAAACGTCTGCAAAGGAACAGTAAAATCAGGGTTTATGCTTAAAAGTATGGCCTCTGAAATCTTGAAACCATAGAGTGGAATACTTTGAGAAATCCAGTGAGATCCCTTGACAGCCAGCCCCCATAAGCTCTATGTCTTTTCTGTTGTGAATGCCATTCTGCTGTAGTTGAGTAGCTTCTGATCATAATAAGATAGCGTGGTTCCCGGCTGCTGCCCTATCCCCAGAAGCAGACAAGTAAGGTGCTAATGAAAACACACGCAGTCGCTCCTGAATGAAAGTCACATGATTTGTGCTGTTTCCTTTATTGAAAGAGAAACCTTTACAAAAATAGGACTTCGTAGAAGGAAGGCATAGTATGTGGAACACTAAACCAGGAATCAGGAAACCAGGCCTCTTGTCACTGATCTTAATGAGTCATTGTGACTATGTAAGCATGGCACTTAATCTCTTCTCACTTTCTCTACCTGTAAAATGGGGGTAATTAGAACCCTCAGGGCCGGGCTGCTGGAGGGCAGGGGGCTGATGGACACCAAGAATGTTTGCAGCCTCTCCAGGGAAAGGCTCTAAAAAATCTAATCACTCTGCTAGTGCTTGTCATTTTGAAACCGAAAATATAGAAGCAAGGCGGTTTTTAAATGGGTGGGTGCACTTCATGGAAAACAAACAGACGCAAAAGTCAGGATTCTGAAAGGGGAACCAGTACCTCTGAAGAAATGTGCACCTTTGCTGCTTGATTATGAGCTCAGCTGCCATCTCTCCAAGAACGATTTCCCCCCTGTGTGAGTAACTCATTGTGAATTATAATTTGGGAGTATTTGAAGTAGCACAGTGCAAGAACAAGGACAGTATCCTAACTGGAACCACACTCAGCTTGTGCTTTGTGTTACCTCGTATGTTATGTTGACAGACTAAGGTAAAAATATATTACGAGAATATTCATTTCTCCTCTTTCGAAGTGACAGTGTTGGCTGTTCATGCAGGACACATTCAAAAGAAAACAAACTTTCCGATGATTAATCACCCTTTTTTCAATATGGGCTTTATTCTTTTAGGTTAATGTAACGAGATGGGCCATCTAAGCACTCGCTAGACTTGTAGCATGATTATATAATGTAGGGAGCGGTCCATGTTTGTTACCTTCTCCTCCCATCCAGAAGAATAATGCAATTGAGAATTAATGCTTTATTTAGAATGATTAAAATTAAAAGGAGGAGCTTTACCACCCCCCCACCAAAGTGCTTTTTTTCTTTCTTTCCCCCCCTTTCTCCCCCTTTCAGAGTTTAGTAACAACAGCATGGGTATAATGTGTTTTCTGTTAAAATTCCCACTAATGCATTTTCTGTAGAAGCATAGTTCCAAGCACTGGTTAACTTTTGGTATCAGATTTGGCGAGT